TGTACAGTCAGCACCTAAGTTTCCCTGTTGGCCAAGAATTCGGATTTCAGGTACTGGGGGAAATGTCCTCAAATGAGCTAAACGCCGGGAGGAGGGACGCACAAACCAACTTGGAGGTGGTGCAGGAACAAACTGAGGAAAGTGTGGCAGACAGGAAGAGTCGGCCGTTTCCCATGAGTGAAACATCTTTCAACAGGGTCACATGCAACCCAGAACAGAACAGTACACGTCCACTTAAGGAAGCCAAAATGCACACAATTTAGCAGGAAGTCAACTCGCCTTTCTGTTTCAGAAACTTAAAAGTCGAGTTCTGCTTCAAGAGAAATGTCTGGACGTAAAAACGTATCGCATCAATCGGAAGGTACACCGACGGAACGATGCGTCTCATCAATGATTCCTGCATGCAAGAATGATGTAGAAAGAACCTGAGGCGTAAGTTTGGTTGGCGCAGCATCCCAAGTATTCTCTGGTGTTATCCTTTGAAGGTTGATACAACTTCGAGAGGGTGGAAGTCGCGACAGTTAGGCCGGGCGGTTGTATCGATTGCGTATTCTGATGAGAGGGATGGATAAGAGGTAGGACAGGGACACTGCTTTTGATGACCAAAATGGCCGTTTTTCCTTGATTTTAAGTCTACTTGTGTCCGAAGTGCTGCATCCTCATACAAACTAACTGTAACACCACAACTTTAATTAAGATGGAATTGACGAAGTATGGTCCGAAAGCTTTCCAAACGAGTGTGTTCCAATAAACAGAAATTTCATGTCATAATATAAATGCAGCGGCTCAAGTATGGATTGAAGGAGGAAAAGAGGTTTGGCATATGTTAGCGCAAAGAGAGCTGGCGGAAGGGAAAAAAGTACGAAAAAGATAACTGAAATACAAACACAAATTTAAAACCGTGTACTGAAAAAATAACGTAAAAGGCAAGAGAACCACGTCAGCGAAGAGAGAAGTCCAGGAACACAGCGCATAAATGGTGACGGAAGAAGGAGGTCTAATATAGATTATGGAGACTTCGTCAGCAATACAATACCTTTGATGTATGACTTGTTCTCTCTCATTATCTTCATCCTCACTGGACGAAGCTGAAGTAGCTTGAACCGCTGCAATTCAGTACTTGGTTTGCGAGCTGAAAACCGAACTCGAATAATAATTGGGAGGTTGCAATGCTGCTCTTTCCACACACCATCGGTTTCAAACGTTTGGTAATTCCTAATTGAATTGACAAGTGTAGGATATCAGATGCGACTCCGGGTTTTTTAAGTCTTCTCTCCTTGCTTTTCTCCTCCTCTTTCATTCCCTACGGCTTTTTTCAAATCCACGGTATTTAGCTGTTTGCAGGACAGCCAGGCGTAAAACGCAGGTAGCTTTTTTATTTTGCTTGGGTTCGGTCGGCGTAGTCGGGATGCAGGCAAATCCATAACGGACGTGTCAACTCGCCGTAAAAGGTACGATGTCACATTCACGCAACCCAATATCAAATAAGACAACCCATAGTAAACGTCTGTATTTAGTGCTACTGCCACTTGCTCTTACCGATTGTCCAGAGGACCTGAGGATGAAGGAAGGCCGGAAAACCATGTCACCGGCTCAGCACCTAGTGAAAATCTGAACACACGCGACAACACACCGCAACAATCAATGCAATAAAAGAGCAATTCACATGATGCCGACTATATGTTTAGGGGGAATGACCAATAAAACGTCAAACAGCAACGTATGTTGATTGGTCACTGGGACACCGAACAACAAACTGCTTCTGAAAGTTTCCGACGCAGAATAAAACTGACGTGAGGGAAGAGCACCTACAAACTGACCAGAGTAATAGCAAAAAACATGTTGATAGTATATTGCTGGTATTTTACAGCTGCATCGTATGGGGTTCCGAGAGGAATAAATGTCTGATGTTAGATATCGAGGCAAAATAAATTCTATGGAGACGTAATTTCCTTTTGTAACAACAGAATAAATGAGGAGCCATTTAGAATGAGGGCTTGGGTCACCAGCGTCGGCTGGGATGGCCAGCCACTGCAGCATGACACAGACCTCATCTGTTATACTCATGCACTAGGATTCTGTGTTTTTCACAGTGAGCACTGGAGTGGGACAGTGATACGGACAAAACCACCCATAGACAGACAGAAGTATGCTGCTTTTGCAAACAACTTCCTTTGGCATGGACTTGGGTTAAGTACTGGGAAGTCCTTTCTCTTTTTCAGTCTTTCCGACAGTGATGTCTTTCTCCCGATCAGCTTTATGGTTGAACAATGTTACCGAACTTTGAACAGGCTTGTCTTGAGTTTGCTGATTTGTAAACTCGCACACCAGATACGCGTCAACTCGGCCTATAAATAGGTGGCCCCCTCTGGTTCCGAATTATTCTACGTATTGCTGTCGTCTCCATAAACTATAACATTCGTTGATTCCTTCAATAAACGAAGCACTGGACAGCGAATGGCATATGGTGTTTCTATCAACCAGGAGGGGCCAGCTGGAGGTGAAACTGTGTACTCCACATAATTAGTATTAGGTTCTCGGCTCTAGAAAGTGCATAGGACAATCAGTGTTGTTTTTGACTGCAAGAAGCAGCCTGCAGTCTCCATGTAATAAGTGCACGCACAGTGCGATGGTCCAGTGATCAAAGGGACTCATTGGAAATTCCACAGAATTACCAAGCATTCCTGTAAACAAAATCTCCCGAGAGGACAACGTCAGCACAGCAGAACCACCAATATGGGTCACTCTGAACTTATCAGGATTTATCATGTACTGCGTATGCTAATTTCTCGTCCATCGAGACGAGTTATGGCGTTCGTATCTTACTTAGAATGACAAGAACTGTAAGGTAGACAAAAGGTGACTTGGCAGAAGGTAAAGTGATTTACCGGTTTGGATGTTTGTGTGATTCACCTTCGAAGATAGGGTCCCGGCGACCCATTTTGAATTTGGCTGGAGACGTTGCAAGAAATCGCCGCCCATCGATGCCAATGGTATCTATCATCTTCTTAGCAGACTGACTAGGCATCTGGAAGATTATGCAACTCATAATGCTTGTGGTGGGGTATCACCGGCCCTTTTCCCGTCTTATCTTTTCTTTCTTTTCACTTTGGGGCCTTAAGTATAATTTTTAAAAGTTTGGCGAAACATGAAAATGGAACTCTAATGTCAGGCTAATTTTTTTACATCAAGTGATGACCGTGGAAGAAAAGTTGTCGAATAGTATTGTTTTCGTAGGGAAACTAGTGGTCAACAATGTGAAGCCTGATCAACACATTCTCCTGGTCCTCCAGGGCGGTAATTTTTCTTGCGAAAATATCGACGTCATGTCGGTGCCACAAATGTCAGAGTTCTGACTAACTATTTCTAGCCAATAATTGGTGGGATCTATAAAGCGATTTTCACTTAAAGTCGATTTTGGCACCATTTTGCACTTCACCCTCAGCAATTTTCAGAGGTATTTGTCCGCATGAATTATGCGTACGATGCCGTGGTCCGATCTGTCCTGTCTTGGAGAAACCAGTGCTGAGTGCGGAACATTTCCGGAGGATGCGCATGATCTTGAAGATCTTAACCCATAATTTCGGCAAATCAATCGTGATTCATATAAAGCTTCAAACCACTATCAAAAGTATTGAATTCACTGCACGGTATGTGTCCTCACAATACGTTCTCAGTTGAAAAAAGGTAGTACAGAATGCTAGCATGTAAGCCGTAGCTTCAACTCACGTGTTGTTGTCACATGCTCGCGTAAACACATTCAGCCACGTCACGTACTTTCTACCACCAATATTGATAAAAATAGATTCGTGAAGCCTGCATTATCCACTAAAGAGCAACAATTTTTGTCTAAAGAGGATTCAGCGTCGTATACAGAGACAACCTTGTGACTTGTTTGGGCCTCACTTTGAATAGCTGAGTCAGAATAAGTGGCCCCTCCAACGGATCAGTACACATTCGTACTCAGAGAGTGAAGCTCTGTTGTATACAAAGGTTGAAGTATGCGACAGTAAACAAGAAAACGGTACTGATGTCAGAGTCACTGCAATCGTGTAGACTCTTAAAGGTGAGGAAAGCACAGTTGATACTAGAAAGGACAGCTATGCATTTTGGCTGCAAAGACCAAAATCAACCAAAATGAATAGCTGTCCCTTCTAGTATCAACTGCGCTTTCCTCACCTTTAAGAGTCTACACGATTGCAGTGACTCTGACATCAGTACCTTTTCTTGTTTAGTGTTGCATATTTCAACCTTCTTTGTATACAGCAGAGATTTACCCTCTGAGTACGAATGTGTGTCGATCCGTTAGAGAGGCCACTTATTCTGACTCAGCTATTCAAAGTGAGGGCAACTCTTTTCTAGAGTTAATCATTGGCACTTCGACCGAATGGTGACAGGCCGAGTCAAGAAGAGTGCCGATTCCTCTTGTCAGCACGGTTTTTCCTCCTCCTATCAATAATTGATAGCAAACTGGCTTGGACCGTCACTTTGCGGATGGCTTTATCATCAAGCTCAGGATAAAGAAAAGCTTAATTTTTGAGTAACAAATAGGAACTAAAAACACACTAACGATACATCTGCCATGTTAGTTCGGTCCAGCGAAACAAGTACAAGCAGGCTTGTTTTTTCGGCTGGGCTGTCAAGCAGTCGTAGCAACAAGCGCTGAAGTGGATACTGAAATCCAGCCTGAAACAAACCCCACAGTTTGATATTCGATTGGTGCTCTTCTGGCGTTCGGTCATCACTCATTGCTGTCCAAGCACAAAACTGTCCCAGCTCGTTAGTTACTCAGACTTACGCACCGACATACTCATTTCAAGTATTAGAGAGGGAAACACTGGGTTATTATTACCCAGATTTTCCAGATTTTCCTTCGGAGTGGCGTTTTCTAACCACGTGGGACCGTTTATTGTCGGCCATCCGGTTTGATAGAGTGTTTTTAATTCTTGTTGAAATTTGAGTAAGGAACATGTGGGGAATTCAGAATCTGTCTTTGTCAGTCTTCCTTTCAAATGGGATCTGGCCGAAGACCATCTGATTTGGCGTCCACACTACACACTTTGGAAAACTCATTTACACAACCGAAGCACTTACACTTTAAAGATGAGCCGCTGATCCATGCTCGAAGCTTAATCCATCTGCTGCTTTAAAGCAGAATACATAGGGCGTACGACGGAGCAGTTATGCCTCAGGATAAAGGAGCATAACTCATTGTGGCTGACAGCTGGAAACTTTGGCAGCTCTTCGGCTGATACGAGTTATGTGAGTAATATTTCAATCTGTATTAATCAGAAAAAGATTTCGCAAAAGCGTTCATCGTCATTATCACTGACTGCATAGCATCGGTATTCAGCATCTGTGCTCCTCTTCCTTACGAGCTTTATTGTGAAGAGAAGAATAAAAGGTGATGGGGAAATCGCGATACATCGCCCAACACCGTAGCTTTCGGAGCTGGACACATTCTTCGATTGAAGTCCAGGTTGCATGACCGAACACTCATTTTCTAATTTTCTGTTTGTGGATTCAGCTCCTCCAGCCTGCAGCAGCTAAAGTTCTAAGACAACGTTTGTCAATACCTGAAACCGTCTCAGCTTCGCTGCTCGGAGTGGCCACTTCTCAGCCGTACAACAAAAAAAGCCCGTACTGTATCCTGATACTCACGTCCGTTGAGAGTCAGGGAAATATCGCTTTGTTGCCGTAGGTGTCCCAAAGTAGAAAAAGCCAACCAGAATCTTACAGCTTCGTGCGTTGACTTAGGCTGCCACACTGCATCGGAACTAATACAATTTCCGAGCTGCATCAGGCGCTCCGCTACAACTCTCAGTGTCTTCCCTTGGATTGTAAGTGACGCACTCAGTGACTGTATGTACAGTCCGTCGCGAAGAGTCTGGACCTTATCGTAGTGTGACGGTTTGCATATCTCAGTACCACATTTGGCTGAACTGGAGGATGATCGCGCAGCACCCACAGTGTCTCAACTCCAGCCGTCACGTGGTGACATCAGCCGGGTCACATTATTCACCACATACAGTAGGGTGAATATGCAAAGTAGAGAATTCTGAGGACCTTCAACTTTCTTCATTGTTATCTCTTAAGTTCGGTTCTGTCACAGTTGACAGTCATTCTTTTGTGGACCCCAGCTATTTGCACTTCAGTCAGGCACCCATAAAAATAACATATTGGGCGCTGCCGCTCAGATTTACAGCATCGCGCCAGCCATTACAGAATCCATTCTCCTGTTTCATAGCAGCCGTTAATGTAAAAACTCTCGGGCAGATCGTCCATCAATTTACTCTTGTTCGTATTCCAGACACTATGTTGGTTGACATCTGGCTTATTCCTGAAAATCAAATACAGGATCGAAGTTCGGTTAGTCTATATTGACGCTACAAACTACGAACTTCGACTGATTCTGAAGCTGTTGCACTGGGTCGCGCCGGTGTTGATTTATTCCTTAGTTCTTGCGCCAAAGATTCATTACGCTAGCAGGTATCTGCAAACACCCTCTTCTGTGCTGCCTAACTGTATACTCTGATAAAATTTTGTTCTGGTTGAAAAACCAAAAGCCGTTTGTTTGTCACGCCTATTTATGTACAAACGAACCATAGCTCTGATTTGTTGAGAGACACCTTCCACCGGGAGCCGACCACCCTCCTCTTCACCACGAAGAGCTTGGATATAATCATATTAGCAGAAGACTTAAATTCGTGGGTAGAACGCCTCAGTTCAGTTGGAACACGCCTCTGTGGTATTTTAAGTCTGAACACATGACTCAAGGATAGTGCTGAACGTCTTTTTTGACTTTGTGCTCATCTCCAACTGTTTCTCATAAGTACTGTGTTCAGACGTAGTAGGCGCCGTTGTGCCTCATGGGTTCCCCTACCGCCCTGGAATCCAGTTGACGAAATCACTACCAGCTAATTTTGACACAGTTCGACGCTTGACTGCCGATCGTTCTGGAATACATAAGTCGGTTCAGAACACGTTCTCGTTCGGTACGCGCTTTCATAAAAAGTGCTCGGAGACACTCAGAAGCCAGCTCGCCGTTTAGCATTAGAAAAACTTTGTGAGCAACAAGTTGCGGAAAAAGTACTATGCAGTGCATTACAAGCGACCTCCGTGAAGGACACTGACGGTAAATGGGATAAGGTAACCAAGGCTAGACATGATGACCTCGTCTCTCCTTGTAGTGCTTCTGAGCGCGTACATGGATGCCAATGGACCTCAGAACAGTCGGTAGCACTAAATTCCCTCTGGTTCGCGGTAAAATTTAGCTGGAACATCGGTTGGATGACGGCTCCAGCATAGTGTGTGTTGACAGAGAGATGTGGTGAAACCACAGAATTTTACAAATGGAGGAAGCCGATGCAGCTACGAATGCACTGAAGCCGTACCATCTAGTACGCATAACGGTGTCTAAAAGGCTTGCCATAGGTGCGGTAATGGGATATAATTTTGGTGATCAAATACTAAAGACAAGCACCTAAATCGCCTAGATTTACGATAACTTGATAGCAGTTAGATAATTCTCGGCCACTCTGTCTGTCTTTCATCGTCCCCACTCATTTTGGGCAGTGGTTCATGAGTTTATACCCCATCGTTTGATGAAGTACGGCCGGCGTCAAGACGTCGTAAGACTTATCTTTGATAGTACCAGACCTACATTTGGTTGGGGCATAATCAATCACGACAAACAAACAACAATCGATTTCCCGCTTGTGAGGCTCTTTCACGGACGTTCCAAGACAAACCATACAGAGGTGACGGTCAAGATTTAGTCTTTACACTGAGTGATTTGGGGCAATACCGATATTCGCAAATCCTGCCACAGTAGTGTCTGGATTGCCAGAGGCGGGCAGCTGGGGACGAGTGGAGGGTGATGGGTCAAGTGGCACAGCCACCGCGCATCTTGGTTTCTTGTCCTTCATAATCAGCACGTATTAATATTGAGCGAACTCAGGTGGGGGGGGGAGAACAACTTGTTATCCTTTTCAATCAATTGGAAAAGGTTTGGAACCGATTGAGAAGTCATCGTTTCAGAAGAGCTTGATAACTACCGATCGTTTATCAAGCTCCTCTGAAACCTTGTTATCCTGTTTGCTTCAGTCAAGTAGACCCTCAGCCGAGGCTTTAAGACTATTTCCGAAATGTCTTAGGCACAGGCACCGGCTGACTCGCATAGGTTGTGATCAAGACCGCCGCAAAGGCCGACGTGCCATGACAGCATTTTTCGGTGTAGATATTTTGGCTATATATGCGCTAGGATACCAGAAGGCTGCCCAGACTTATACAGGAGAACGGTTAGGGTCCTCGACCAAAACATTTGGTTGAAAAGACTGACTGCAAAGTAGCGGTCTTACGAAATGCATTTTCTCAAGAGCTAATCCCAACCTGGAGGAGCAGGAGAATGTGCTGGTCAGGCTTCACATTAGTGACTGTTGCAACTTCGTATATCTTTAAAATTGCCCCCCATCTTGAATGATTACCTCCCCGGTTATCAATCCAGATGGACCGCTCTTTTTGGACTGGTGTAGTTGACAAAACATTTACATGTTGCACTCCCCTTGCCGCGCAAATCGTTTTTACAGCTTCTGTTATAACATTTTTGTACAAAACCTCGGCCAGATATAAATTTGTTTTAATGCATGAATTTGCGACCCGGCTCCGAGCACGCGTTGACTGTTGATCCATATCGGCTTTGATTGCTTTTTGGGGTACCTCACAGTTTGTCGAAAACAGTTGAGGTTTGTTATTTTGTATCCGTGTAACTACTTTAATTTTTATAGTACAGCACATTTGCGTAGGCATTGGTACGAAGTTTTGCCGGTTTGGTTGCTAACCTTGGTGCTCGTTGCTCAAGAAATCGAAACGATCGTTACATTGCCGGCGAATCTGCTAAGAAAACAATAATATCCGACAGATTTTGTCCACCGTCATCATCTGGCGCAACAAAATTAGCCTGATATTAGATTACAAATTTCACTTATCGCAAAAATTATATTTAAGGAAGAAATGTGAAAAGAAATAAAAGATAGGACGGAAAAGGGGCCTGGTGCTAGTCCAACACCGGACTAGAAAGGAACAAAATTTCCTTATCAAGGCAGGCCGCAAAACTGGTCAGTGGATCAGAGATCCTCGTAGAACATTCAGATATTGGGCGTTCACAGTAGAGAAGTAGAGGGTCCCCATCCGAGAATCACCAGGGAATTAGAACCCCACACCTGATTGGCTTTCGGGATCGGAATTCAATTAAGAATAAACCCGGAACACTGTATTCGGCGCAAATGAGTTCGCTGTCCAACAGGACTCCAACAGATGGGCACACCTAAAATAACAATAATCTTCACTTTGGAACGCTTTGCCTGCCCCAATACATGAGCGACCTTTGGGGAACATGGAGGAGAATAAGGAACCCGAAGATTTTCTGAAAGCAACAGAAAATTCCCGGCTTGGGCGAAGCTAGTAATATGCTGGAGGTTGGATGATCCGAAAGTCCTCATACCCACGATATTTGCAGAATGGAGGAAATTGAGTACCGAATGTCAAGATATGTTCCATACTGTGCGATTGGATTCGGCAAAAGACTGATCGGTCGAAGAGTTGAAGTGGTAAAATGAAGTATTCGGTGACCCGGCAACCAATGCCCTTACCGCGATGGATTCATGTGATCACCGTACCAAACCAGCGGGACAGCGCGCTAAAGAGAGTGGCAATGCGTCACTTCGTAGTGGAATATGAGGTATTGGGGGGGGGTGAAAAGTTCAAGATTTGCGTGCGCCAGTGGGTAGAGAAAAAGTCGCCAGTCAGTCGAACGGCCCAACTCTCCGCGAAAAATTCTGAAGTATAAAGGAAGGGCTGGCTTCAAGTGAAAGTCATTAGGAAGTGAAATTATCATTGGCGAAATACACTCATTTGCATACCAATTTGATTTTGACAGGAGACTCAACTGGGACCCAGCTGAATCTCTCGATTATGATTTCAAAGATTTCTCGACAATCTTATCAATAGTGTACTGCTGCCATAAAATTACCATTGTTGTTTTGGCTCATCGTGCTTCGGCAAGATCCACGGGAGACAGCACGCTATTCATGTTGGTGTACAGTCAGCACCTAAGTTTCCATGTTGGCCAAGAATTCGGATTTCAGGTACTGGGGGAAATGTCCTCAAATGAGCTAAACGCCGGGAGGAGGGACGCACAAACCAACTTGGAGGTGGTGCAGGAACAAACTGAGGAAAGTGTGGCAGACAGGAAGAGTCGACCGTTTCCCATGAGTGAAACATCTTTCAACAGGGTCACATGCAACCCAGAACAGAACAGTACACGTCCACTTAAGGAAGCCAAAATGCACACAATTTAGCAGGAAGTCAACTCGCCTTTCTGTTTCAGAAACTTAAAAGTCGAGTTCTGCTTCAAGAGAAATGTCTGGACGTAAAAACGTATCGCATCAATCGGAAGGTACACCGACGGAACGATGCGTCTCATCAATGATTCCTGCATGCAAGAATGATGTAGAAAGAACCTGAGGCGTAAGTTTGGTTGGCGCAGCATCCCAAGTATTCTCTGGTGTTATCCTTTGAAGGTTGATACAACTTCGAGAGGGTGGAAGTCGCGACAGTTAGGCCGGGCGGTTGTATCGATTGCGTATTCTGATGAGAGGGATGGATAAGAGGTAGGACAGGGACACTGCTTTTGATGACCAAAATGGCCGTTTTTCCTTGATTTTAAGTCTACTTGTGTCCGAAGTGCTGCATCCTCATACAAACTAACTGTAACACCACAACTTTAATTAAGATGGAATTGACGAAGTATGGTCCGAAAGCTTTCCAAACGAGTGTGTTCCAATAAACAGAAATTTCATGTCATAATATAAATGCAGCGGCTCAAGTATGGATTGAAGGAGGAAAAGAGGTTTGGCATATGTTAGCGCAAAGAGAGCTGGCGGAAGGGAAAAAAGTACGAAAAAGATAACTGAAATACAAACACAAATTTAAAACCGTGTACTGAAAAAATAACGTAAAAGGCAAGAGAACCACGTCAGCGAAGAGAGAAGTCCAGGAACACAGCGCATAAATGGTGACGGAAGAAGGAGGTCTAATATAGATTATGGAGACTTCGTCAGCAATACAATACCTTTGATGTATGACTTGTTCTCTCTCATTATCTTCATCCTCACTGGACGAAGCTGAAGTAGCTTGAACCGCTGCAATTCAGTACTTGGTTTGCGAGCTGAAAACCGAACTCGAATAATAATTGGGAGGTTGCAATGCTGCTCTTTCCACACACCATCGGTTTCAAACGTTTGGTAATTCCTAATTGAATTGACAAGTGTAGGATATCGGATGGGACTTTAGCAGTTTTCATATTATTCTTCTGTTCCTTTTTCTAGTTACTCATTCATTCCAGTTAGTAGCATGGGATCTGGTAATTCTAGTGGAGGATTAATGTTTGTCATGTAAGTGAGGCGAATCTGCGCTGACTGGCTGGATGTATGGTTATCGTTGTTTCTTCTTTATTTACCTCGTCGTCTTCATCTCCCTTTGATGTTCTGCATCTTGATAAATATTTTCCTCGCTGCTTTTTCCACTTGTGATTTATGAAATCTTTTGTAATTGCAATCCCTTAATTTTCACTTGGCGCATCGCGGAGTCAACAAAATTAATGTCTTTGGTTTTTTAATGTCCCGGAGGAATATCATCTCCTGACACTGGGAGCATTCGATGTTTATTTACCAATAAAATTCTTGAGGTATGCGCCCATAATGTTTTGACTTGCCAAAGTCGGCATTGTGTATGGAACCTGTATGCTTATGTACGAGATTCCGTTGATATACTCACTGTCGGTGTGCAAAATTGAAGCGTAATCACGTGTACCATTCCACCGAAAAGCTATGGGCACTTGTTTTTGTGCGTTTGTGGCGAACAAGATATCGTGTGACTGGTCACGTTTGGGTGAACAAACTTGCTGGGCAGCCGGGGGTTGTGGCTTTCCAGGTTCCATTCACCAAGATGCAATTGCAAGTCCACGGGTCTGATGAACCAATAAATTGAACTGGAAAGTTTCGCCTTTCGTGGCAGGCCAATCCTCCAGATATGAAAGCTCAAGAATCAGTAGGCAGAGCTGCTAGGTAGAACTCAGCACTGGCCAGTAGGTGGAAGTTTTACTGCTCCACTTGTCTTGAACTCTTATGCTGAACTCTTTTCCGCTAGAGTAACGATGCTTAAAATCTGCGGACGAGTTTGCAGCAGTTCATAGTTATACTTGCGGAAAAGGTGGATAGATTCGGAAATAGTTGAGTACATTTCTAGGG